GCCAGCATTTGGTATCATTTGTTCTCTTGATCCTAGCCAGTCTGATTTGGGTAAGGCGATACCTTAGGGTGGTTTTAATTTGCATTCCCCTAATTACTAACGATGTTGAACACTTTTTGAGATGTTTCTTAGCCATCCTTATTCCTTCCTTTGAGAACTCTCTGTTTAGATCTTTAGCTAATCTTTTAATTGGGTCATTTGGTTTCTCGGTTGTTTTTTGAGTTTTTTATATATTCTGGATGTTAAACTTAGGGCAGATGTGTCACTGGTGAACATTTGTTCCCATTCTGTGGGTTTTCTCTTCACTGTTTTGATTGTTTCTTTTGCTATACAGGAGATTTTTAGTTTAATGAGGTCCTACTTATTGATTGCTGACCTTAATTCCTGAGCAACTTCTGTTTTAGAAAATCCTTTCCTACACCTATATCCTGTAAGTACTTCCAATATTTTCCTTTAATCATTTCAAGGTTTCCAGTTTCACATTGAGGTCTTTGAGCCATTTGGAGTTGACTTTTGTGCAAGGTGAAAGATAAGGATGTAGTTTCATTCTTCTACAGGTGGAGATTCAGTTTTTCTGGCACCATTTGTTGAAGATGCTGTCTTTCCTCCATTGTATGTTCTTGGCACCTTTGTCAAATATCAGGTGGCTGAAATTGTGTGTACTCAGGTTTGAATCTTTATTGATGTTCCATTGATTGTGTCTGTTTTTGCACCAGTACTATGCTGTTTTTATGACCATGGCTCTGTAGTATACATTGAGATCTGGTACAGTGATGCCCCCAGCGTTGCTCTTTGTCTCAGGGTTCCTTTGGCTATCCAGGGTCTTTTGTGCTTCCATATGAATTTAAGGATGTATTTTTCTAATTCTGTGAAGTATGTCATGGGGGATTTGATTGGGATTGCACTGAATCTATATATTGCTTTTGGTAAGATGGTCATTTTCACAATATTAATTCTTCTAATCCATGAATATGGGAGGTCCTTCCATCTTCTGATTGTCTTCCTCAATCTCTTTAATGATTTAAATTTTTCATTGTAGAGATCTTTGGTGTCTTTGGTCAGATTTATTCCAAGATTATATATATATATATTGCAGCAGTTGTGAATGGG